GAAATCAAATGATTTGGAAAGCACTCATTTAACAATGTCATCGGTTCTCTTGTTGGATGGGCCGTGGCTCCGTCCTGTTGAAACCAAGTATTGCGAGGCCATGTCTCTCAATTTCAGGAATTAGAAATTCGCTAATCATAGTTCGGTATCTTTCACCATTTACTGTTACTGTTGCGCCATCATTATTTTCAAAAACATATGGGCCGATCAAATTGGAAGCAGTTATTCCGCACCACACCGTCACATGAGGAGAATGCAGCGGCATTTCTTGAATTTCTCTTGGATTTTCATCGCACCAAATTCTAGAACTATGTCTATCTACATGAGCAGACAAGTGAAAGTGAGCTTCGTCAGAGAAGCTAATGGTTTCGATGAAAGAGGCATCCTCGCACAAACGAATAAAAGATTTGCAATAATTACCACGACTGTGATAATCACTAGGCAATAACTGTTGGGTTAATTTAATTTTGTAAGGATATAACTTCAAGTCTTTTTTATGAATGCGGTGTAATGTCGATCGGGAGATGGATAATTGAGTTGAAAGTTTTCTGATGAAGGCTTTAGCATTATCTGTAACACTTGCAGAAACTCGCTCGATTACAGCTTCATTTCGAGTTGATTTTAATCTTCCAGATCGTTGTTTATCATTAACATCATCAGTGTATAGTAAATTTTCGAAACAGCGATTTAATTCTGTCCTTCGAAGGACTGGTTGTTGTTCTGAAATAATTTCTGTAATCACGTTGCACTTCTGTTGTTGACATTGTCCGTGTATAGACTTTAAAAATTCTTATTCTTTTTTCTTTGCTGTATGGAAACATGATGAAAATTAAAGGTTTGCAATGAAGCAAAAATCAAATGTCGCACTGGTTCGTAAATAGGATACAAGGTATCCTATTGTGCCATAAAAAGGGTTTTCTTTCGAATAAAACTAGTTTCAATACCCTAGCATTAATAGTTTTCGTTTTATTAGCAAATCAAAAGGGTCAGTTACTTCTGGGACACCCTGTATATACACATAGAAAAATGCTAAGATAACAAATATGGGAAAATGACAATGATATTTTGTTCCGTCAGAGCTGCAACTTCTGAAGGAAGTAGGAACAAAACAGGCAGCAAAGCTTACCCAAAATACGAAAATTAAATGGAGAATATAGTGAAGAGAAAGGAAATAAGTTAAAACTCAACTGGAGGACACCGTACGAAGATGGCGATTTTAGTGCTGGCAATTTTCACGGCGGAAATCTTGAACTCGAGTTAAATTATCTGAAACGAATTGCCAACAACCAGATGCTCTGGATGACGGACCTTCTCAAAATCCGAATATTTCTGAAAGCACACAAACATTTGACACTCCTCAAAGAACGTTCACCAACCACTAAGGGAGCTGACTTGTCTTGTTCAGCCTTGCGTCTCATTTATCGGGCCCTGGGAAGTGAGTTCCGCTAACGGACGGTGAACCTTCGTCAAGGAGTGTCCATACCTCCCGACCTAAATCGGCAACACAGCGAGGGTGTGACTCAATGGCTAGGGTGTTAGACTCTG